TGAATTTCATTGTAGAGAGAGTTCATTCTTATAACAGCCATTTGATCCCCAAAATTCCGAAACAACAGCACATATCTTACCTTTTATCGAAATGCTCAGATCAGAGCCCGTGACAGAAGGATCGTCCCAAGAAACATCACGCGGTAGCTCCATGGTTTCCAACATTTCAAAAATCTTTCCAGAATTCGACTCAGTCCTATCCAAACTAAGAAACTTGCAGAGAGCCTCGTCTTTGGACTGGTTTCCTAAATTTTCAGCAGCAGACGGCTCGCAGATCTTGGCATCTTCCAACGATCTCCCTTTCCCGAAAACGGCAGCGTCCGAATGCTGGAGGATCTCATCCAAATCCGTTCCCATGACTTTATCACGGTTTGTCACCCGTTCGACGGCACGATTTTCAAAGGACTCCACGTCAAACGGCTCAACGGTCACGTGGTCGGCTGCCCACTTGGGCAATCTCACTTGAGGAACTTCGGTTGGTCCATCCACTTTATCCCAGAGGGGCCTTTCTGCAAATTTAGAACAACAGGGCATAAAACATGGAAAGTTCTTCTAAAAAAGTTCCACGATGGTCTTTAGAAATTAGAATCGAAAAAAAAATCAATTACAATGATAAAGAACTCCCAGGGTACAGTTTAAATTTTTCTAGAATGAAATTTATGATTCTTGGAATATCTAGGATCAAAATGATAAGGGAAACAGGTGATAAAGGCTTTGAAGTACTGTATCTCCCACGACATATATGTGAAGAATTATCTTTTCAACCCGGTTTTCATTGAATAATCACGGAAAATTTCAAAATGTAACATGCACTTCTCTCATTTCAAACCTACCTTGCTTCAAATTTCTTTGAAAGTAATATGAACTGTTAGAAGCAATCGTGAACTACCTTGCGAATATAAGACGCAATTAAAGATACGGAGGCCAACAATTATCAATAACCAAGATAATTTTTTAGCCAATTAAAACGAATGCGTCTTACACGCAAGAAAATTCGTCATTCGCAATCCCCATAATTTTGAAGCACACGCAACTCAATATGAATTAAAATAATTGAAAAGAATTCTTTTAATACGCAAGAAATACGTCATTCGCATTCCGCATAATTTTGAAGAACACACTATTAAATACAATCTGAGAGGAGAGGGTCAACAAATTCTGGGTTTACTCATCAAAAATGGAGGAAAACCAAGAAAATTTGACTGACCGCTTCCAGTGAGCATGTGATCTGCAGAATTGTTGCAAAAATTCTCTAACATT